CTCTCTCTCTCACTCGCTCTGTGTCTGACATTTTATAGATATTGTAAGCACTTCCCTTCGTCTGCTTTTCCTTTGGCCTGGCCCGCATTGCGTAAAGTGCTTTATGAGCACTGACGGAAATTTGCCAAGTGCTGTTATTAATACTAATATTTCATATACGTGTGTGCGTGTGCATGTGCGTGTGTGTGTGTGTGCGTTTATTGTGGCATTTGGCTTTTAATGGCCCACACAATTGAGCGCTCCAAAAACTGTTGACATGACGAAAGGTTGCCAAGGAATCCCCGCCAAAGCCTTTTGCACCACTCGTCGCCACAATTTGACTCCACTGAATGGCCGAACATTAAATGAGCTCAGCCCGACGACTCCTGCCGCAACAACGCAAATGCTCTCAATTTCACTTAGAAAGCAGCACACCGTGGTGGGACGCCACGAGAGTTTTGGCAGCTTAATTTGCCACCAATTAACTTTTACCTTATTTTTTTTATTTGTTGGCCAGAAAGGGAAAATTGTCTAAGCCCAAATAGATTGGCTGGGTAAATAACCGATTTAAGTTGAAAGATGAATGATATCAATATTGATAAGCCTTCTTTTCCATTTTTGTGTTTCATTGTTAAAATTGAATTTTCGTTGGCATTTAATTAAGATATTTAAATGATATAAAATATAACTAAAATTATACAAAACAATATTATGATCTTTGATTAAAAAAAGGAAAATTTTATAAAAAAAAAAATTATATAAAGTTAAAAATAAATAGTAAATTTAAAATGAATGTTATTCTTGATTTAAATATATAAATAAAGTAGAAAAAATTAAATTTAATAATAAAGTAAAAATTTACTAGTCCAACTAAAAATAAAAATAAAATTGAATGAATTATAAATAAAAAAATAAATAGAGTATTAAAAATGAATATATAAAAAACATTAAATTATAAATTAAATTAAATGAATTAAATAAAAACCCAAAATTAAATATAAAATTAAAATAAAATGGAATGAATTATAAATAAAAATAAAAAATTTATATTTTATAAAAATGATAAACTAAATAGTGATATATAACGACTTTACATGTCCTACAAATATTTTAAATACAATTAATATTTTTAAAGTGAACCCTTGGTAATTATTCTCTCTTACATTTTCTACTCGCATATTTGTTTCCATTTTGTAATATATTGTCTGTAATATTAATTGCAATTTCGTTGCTGTGTTTTTATGAAGCTCTTGAATGAAAACATATTTATTTGCGGCCCTATTTAGTAGGAATAATAAAAACAGTCGCTGGCGCTGCAAGCCAGAAAGCTGCGGCTCACTTTTCCATATAAATTGCAACTGTTGGCCCGCAGGCCACTAAATTGTGGCAACAGCTGGCGATGTTGTTGCTGTTGTTGTAGTTGTTGCTGCTGCATATTCATTTCGGCAAGCTTTGTGCAGCTTATGGCACGGCTGTGGCTGTGGCTGCAGCTGCCGCTGCCGCTGTGGCTCCAGCTGAGCTGAGCGACCGAGGCGGAGGCGGAGCCATAGGCAATGGCCCTGGCCGCCACATGCCTCTGACTGATGGCCAGGTGAATTCCATGGCCAGCGTCAAGCTGCTTGCGGATTAAGCGAACGGGATTTGAACTGATGGACGCGATTAAAAATATGATGCGACTGCTGCAGCAGCAAAAAAAAAAAAAAGGAAAGAAAGAAAAAGCGCAAAAAGAAAATGCTGTCATTTTGCCTGCATTATGGAAAATGTCAATGCGGAAAATCCGCAACAAATGGCTTTCGTTTTATGTAATTTTTTAGTGCTGCAATTGTGGCACGCAAATTAAATTGTTGCCTGCACTTCACTTGATGCTATTAAGCTGCTTAGCTCGCTCGAAGCTGCAATGTGATTTCAATGCAACGCAGCGCACAAATGTATGCTACACTTTTTTTAAGCAGGCAGCTGAACGTATTTTTAATTGATTAAATATTAATATTTATGCAACTGTAAAGCAACGAAAAACATTTAAAATATGCAAACAAAATATGATCGAATTTTATGGAAATTTTAATTAAATACATTTAATTTAGGCATGTTAAGCTAGCTGGAAATGTTTTATGCTGATGCTGTGCAACAAAGTGAACAAATTAAAACTGTAGCAAAACTTGTAAAGTTTTTAAACATTATATTATATTATATGTCCATGCCTTTTATATGTATATATAAATTACCTTAACTTAACTTGCCTTATCACAGAGCTAATATTACTTTAAACTCATTTCTGCATTCGCTTATTTGCTCAGATTTGCTTGCTCAAGCCACTTGACATTCTAATTTGCTCGATTTGATGTGTAGGGTATTCAAGAGCATTTAGCCATTTCCGTTTTCCGTTAGCAATTTCATTACTTTAATGCGCAAAAGGCGAGCAGAGCTAAAGCTGAATGTATATGTAGATGACTGCAGATGTATGGGACAGATGGGCAGCCCAGAGCCGACCGACCAAGCGAGCCGAGTCGAGCGGGCAAAGTTTTTAAATCTTTATTTATACAGCTTCCGCAGAGCATTTTGTCCTTGCTGAAAGTTTGTGGCTACAGCAATGTGTATTATGTGTGTGTGTGTGTGCGTCAGAGGTGGTGAATGGGTGTGTTTGTGTGTGCTGTGCTGTGGGTGCTTAAAAATGAAATAATTTTGACAGCCACACTTTTGCGGCTGCCAATGCAAAAAGCAGGCAACAGCATTTACAAAATGCCTTGACAAAAGTTTTGCCCAAGGGTCACACACACACACACACACACACGCACACAATGCGAAAAGGGTGACTATGTATGGGGGGGGTGGCATCTGGTTGCTATAGAGCTAATGGAATTGAGCTGGAGCCAGCTCAAAGCGGATTATGCTGCGCAACTTGCCAAATTGTTTAGTTTTTGCAACAACAACAACAACAAGAAGAAGAGTAGAGTAGAAACTAAAACAACTAAATGAAACTTTCCGCCATCGATAATAACCGCACTTTTGTTTTTGCTTCGATTTGCAGTGCATGCGCGCCTATGTGGACTTTGAGATAACCGAAGGCGCCTACGAGATCTCCTGCCCCGATGCCAAATGCCCCGCCCAGGGGGCCATCTCGCTGCCCGAAATCGCGAACCTAACCACAACGAACTTGCTAAAGAAACATCATCGTTATCGCCTAAATCGAGGTACATGTCACTGCCCCTAATCTCCCACACCCCTCTTTCTCTCTCTTGCTTAATCATTTATCAAACGCTTTTCTCTCGACTACAGAAATCGAATTGGATAAAACGCGCACCTGGTGTCCACGTGCCGGCTGCGAGACAATTTGCATGGTGGGCACAGCAAGCACAGCTGGTGATGCGGCTGCCACGGCTGCCAATGGTACAACGACTGGACTGGCGGGCAGCGCGATTTGCCAAATGGATGAATCGCCATCCACATCCCAGAGCTATACTCCACAACAGGATGGTGCTCAGCCACTGCTCTCGATATCGGTGCATTGTCCATCCTGCAAGGATGAGTTCTGTGCTCTCTGCAAGAAGGCGGTAAGTAGGATTGTGCCAGGTCTATGAAAAGTTTGTACAATTACGCAGCTCTGGCTCACTCCCTGGGTCGCACCTGCCGAATCTTGCAGCAAGCAATTAATTAATGGAATTTCTGTTCCCTTCACAGTATCATCCAAACATAAGCTGTGAGGAATTCGGACGTCGTCTGATTGCTGATGGCCAGGATGATATTGGCATACCGTTCGATAACGAGCTCATCAAATGCTGCCCCATGTGCGCGGTGCCCATTGAGAAGGACGAGGGCTGCGCCCAGATGATGTGCAAGCGGTGCAAGCACGTCTTCTGCTGGTACTGTCTGGCCAGTCTCGATGTGAGTGTTGTCTGTTATTTGTCATCTGTTATCTGTTGAGGCTAATGAATGCATTCACTTATTCGCAGGATGACTTTCTGTTGCGTCACTATGACAAGGGACCGTGCAAGAATAAATTGGGTCACTCGCGTGCCTCTGTCGTCTGGCATCGTGCTCAAGTCATTGGGATATTTGCCGGCTTTGGCATTTTGCTGCTGGTGGCGTCGCCGCTGCTGCTGCTAGCTGCGCCGTGCATCATTTGCTGCAAGTGCCGCGGCTGCAGCGGCTCCAAGATTGATGAGGTGGACGCTGAGCTGGAGGAGGAGGTTACCGCACTGCAGGGCTAGCTTCTGATTGATAATCATTTCAACTCACTTTAGCTGCCCGCTGTCCGCTGTCCCCCCACTTTTTAAACCGACCTGACGAGTTATGTTCTTTTCTTCATTTTTTTTTTTTATTACTATTTAACATGCGACTAATTAGATGGTTGCATAACTACATATATTGTTATTGACAGACCGTTTAAATTTATTTTAATTGTATGCATTGTATAGTATGTGTTAACTAAATTGTGATATTTACAGTGATTCGATTTATAATTGAATCGAAAATTTGTTGAGCCTATACAGAGAAAAAAGCGCGCCTTTGATTCATTTCTTGTTTTAGGTTTCGTGTCGATTTCTTTACATACATATACGCCGATATCTGTGTAAGCGCGTATATGTGTGCGTATCCGTATATATAAATATGTATATGTATATGAATATGAATATGTAATGTATGTAAATCTATCAATTGTTTTATTTTTGTCCATTCAAGAAGATTGTATACATTGTGTAAGCCCAAACAACATTTTAGCGCGTAAGTTAGCCTAAATCTACTAGCCCACTATAGCATTTTATATATAACTCTCATATATTTCAAAATGTGCTGCTTTTATATCAAGAACACACACACATATATATACACACACCCACACAAATCCACGCATATGACCCTTTTCTCAAGTATTACGGAATAACGCACGCAAATTTGAAAAACAATTAATCAGCGTAAAATGTTAATTGATTTCAAATGTTTATGCATCTGCTTGGAAATGCTTTTAACTACCTATATAAATAAATAAATAAAACACAAGAAAAATGAAATAACACAACAAATTGCTGCTGAAACCTATGTACGTACATATAAGAAAAGGTTTTGATCGATGTAAATTATTAAAATACTTATTTAATGCATATATATCATAAAAAAAATAATACATATGTATGTGTATGTATATATATGCGTGTATATTAAAAAACAATGTTTAAATTCTACTCTAAATGTGAGCAACTACCGCGTATGCTGTTTAAAATAAAATGTTAAAAAAAAAATTTAAAGTGCGTTTTATTTTGTCTTTTAAATGCGCGCCCCATCGAGAGCTATATCGATATATTTGGTTTTGGGGTGACCATGTATTTACAATATGATTTTCAGGGCTGTATGCTAATGATTTATCGTTATCGAAACAAGCTGATTTCGTGCCATTTCGAGTATTACTCTTAATTCATTGCAATTGGCCGGCATTAGTATTTATGAACTTTATAAAATATACGTTGTTAGAAGATCGGAAGTAAGATGGAAGAGCAGGCCTGTCCGCGGTGCAAGACCACCAAATATCGGAATCCCTCACTAAAATTGATGGTCAATGTTTGCGGTCACACGCTATGCGAATCTTGTGTGGATATGCTCTTCCTCAAGGGCTCCGGCGCTTGTCCGGAATGTATGGTACCATTGCGGCGGAACAACTTTCGTGTACAGCTCTTCGAAGATCCCATGGTGGAGAAGGAGGTGGACATAAGACGACGCATTCTGCGTGACTACAACAAGCGCGAAGAGGACTTTGCAACGCTGGAGGAATATAATGATTACTTGGAAGAAATCGAGGATATTGTCTACAATCTGTGCAACAACATTGAAATTATTGAGACCAACAAACGCATCGAGGCCTATAAGCGGGACAACCGCGAGGTCATTCAGCGCAATAAAACGCGCGTTGGCCGCGACGAATGCGCCCTGGAAGAGTTACTCGAGCTAGAGCGCGTGCAGGATGAGTCGCGCAAGAAGGAGCTGGAAGAGCTGGAAACCGAGCATAAAAAGAAAAAGGCTCGTGACAAGCAGGCCCTCATCGAGGAGCTCATGTACAGCGGCAAGGACGCTGCCACCATTGTCAGCGAGTTCGCCGAGAAGGCTGAAAAGCAGCGCGAGGAGGAGAAGCAGTTGCCGCCTCCTAAACCTGCAAACGAATTCTCCACAGGCATTAAGTTTGGTCAGACTGCAGATCCAACACTGCTGCCAGTACCAAAATCGGAGGAGGGCCCTATCTTTATATACGAACCTCTCATACCCATCACCGAAGGTCCGACGCCGCCGCCCCTTGCCGAGGTCGAGTCCATGGGCTACGTCTCACATATAAGGCCCGAGACGCCGCAGGAGAATGCCGGCGGCTTCACGTCCGCATTGGCATGCCAGCGTGCTCTCCAGGAGGCTATGCAGTGCCTCTTCTATACGCCAACTACTGGCATAGGCGTGGGCCTTTAAAGCTAAAAGCAAACCATCTCGTTGAAAAATGTGTTCCCATACGATATGCACTCCTCACATGTATTCTAATTCTATTTATAAAACTTATAAATATGTTATAAAAAAAAAAAAAAATTAAAATATTTTAGGCGGCTGCTTAGATGGAGCTGCTGTTATTCTTTTGGATGTGGAGATCTTTGATGATATCGCAAAGAGCAGTAAATAACGAAAATCGTCCCGTATGTGGGCCACTCAGGATGCATTTTAGCCAGACTTGGGTCCCACGGCTCAAGATATAATAGCTAAATGGCGGCCCGATGTTTCACAAAAGGCATCTAAGTTCTTCCATGTCATTGAAATCTCAGCAACAATGATTTCCGATGGAGTTACTACTTGCGATCCAATCATAATTAATGCCCTTATCATCCAGAGCTCATAACACGATTGATTCTAGTTTTTATGGTTTCTTGGTATTGCCTTCTAGAAAAACAAAAAATGGAGTCACCTCTAGGACCAAACGTTTTCTACGATTTTATTACAACTTAAATAATTTATGATAAATATTTGAATATCTGCATTTGATGGAGCAATTTGAAAATTTGGGTTTGTGTTCTTTTTTGGCTTGAAAGCTGCAGTTGAAGGTCATTAATCTTTGTCGGGTCCTCCAGGTCCGCTGACAGTCTCGTCCGCATTCATCAAAAAGAGGTAACGCCAAGCAAAGGCCAGCGCTACAGAAGCCCCAAATGGAATACCCACATAAATATAGATATGTTCATAAAATCCGTGAAAGAGAGCGGGCCAAAGAGATCGGAATGGATTCATGCAGGACTGAGAATATTGTGTCTAACAAAATCAAGATATAACATTATATTTTATATATGTATATATATATATATATGTATTTATGTATGTACTTACTCCGACGAGAGTGGCGCAAATGACAACGAAACCGATTTTCAATGATACAGATTCATTTGGGGGCTGATTGCTTTCATGAACCGATGAACAAAAAGCTAGAACCCAAGCGCCGCTTATATAAAATTCTACAACCAAAGCCATCCACCATTCCGACGATACTTCCGTCACACAGAACTGTATTTTTGACAGCAAATTGCCGTACATAGCAAAAGCGATGCAGTAGCCTAGGCAGGAGCCCCCTAATTGCATTAATATATAAAGTAGACCATCCACCACCTTAATATTTCTAATTATCATGGATGCAACCGAGATTATTGGATTCAAATGAGCACCGGATACAATTCGAAATGCCATTGTTCCAGCGATAATTAGGCCACCCCATGTGAATGCGTATCCAAGGATAGTTGACTGGAACTGCGGCGCATATACACGCTCCGGGTTGAAAAGCTGATCAAGTGTTGATCTGGTCGAAGTAACTGCCAGACCAGTGTAACAGCAGCCAATGCATTGCACAAGCATGCTGCCTAACATTTCGGCTACAAGCCTTGCAGCTAAATTCTTGTCGCATTTAACCATTGTTTTTATTTTTTATACAAAAAAAAAAAAAAAAAAAAAAAAAAAAAAAAAACAAAAATGTAATAAAAAAAAGTACACAGTATAGAAATTGGGTATTTTAAACTTTGAACAATTTTGTTGTTTCAAGTGACGAAGCTAACTAATTATGACACTATTTCAGGCAAACTATTTTTTGTTTGGTGAACGGATTCGTTTCGGTTGCTATGTCTCTAACGAATTTTGTGTGGTATCAAAAAGAATTTGGGCTTTGAGTTCGTATTCAACTTTTCTTAGGTTTTCATCGAGTTTTAAAAGCTCTTTAACAATTTTGTAGAAAAGTTGTGATTTGGCTGAAATATTCGAATCGATTCTTGGAAATTCTGTTGGAATATGATGAGATATTTGATTTTGATATGTTATCATTACTTAACTGCTTGTTTTAGATTAAATTTTAAATTAACACATTTGCAGCGGTATTCCATTACATTCGATATGTTCGATTCGATTACTATTAACATCTGCTGTTTTAGGCTGACCATATCGCTCATCAGGACGGCAATGCCATTTAGGGATGTGCTTGCCATCACTGCTCTACTTCAAACTGGGCTGGAGCAACCACTAATGAATGTTTCGAAATTTTGAAATTTCAGTCCGTTGTCGTCGGTTTTGCCAAGTAAACGTGCTTCTTACTCGCGCTGTTTGTACTGATTTCTTTTCGACCCCGCCTTCCCTTCATACAAAATACGCACATATATCTATCTATATATACATATATCTATCTATATATACATATATATATTTATATATATATATATATTTATACTCAGCTAATGCGTATGTCAGCGCGCGGCAAAGTATAAAAAATAGAAGAAAAATCACAGTAAAAAATCAACTTAAGCGTTGCCACAACACAATTTCAAGCGACACAATACAAATTATGTTCATCTAATGCGGCAACAATTGAGCGAGATTTCAGCTAATTTAAATGCTAGTGCATACTCATAAATACGAATATAATACATAAACAAAGTGTTTTGAATAATAATTGATAAAAGCATCGCTGAGTGGCAACAGTTCCTTCCTTTTTTTTTTTTTTTGTTGAATGATATCGATTTTCCGTTACATCGTTATACACACACTCTGACCGAGTTTATACACGCCCCTCTTTAAGACCAACCACCACAACCTCCCCAAGCACACACAGCCACAGACACATACATACGCACACAGCCAGCCAGGGGCAGAGGCTGCACTCCTCACTCCTGTGTGTGGGTGCGTGTGTGCGGAGTGAAAGTCAACATTGACTAATTGTTGCTTGTTGTCGACTGCGGGAAACTGTAAAATCGGAAAAGTGGGAAAGGTGTGTTTAATAAAAGGTTTATTAATTCATTTAACGCCGCATCGCATTAAGAAGCATGATTTATTTGGCACTGATTCAATAGGGACGGACAAACATTTTAGGTGAGCTTAACGATTTTTATTCTAAATATATTTGTATTATATACATTTGTATATACACATTTCATATATATATATATACATATATATATATATGTATATGTAAATATGTACACATATGCTAATTTATTGTTGCAATTTTCATGCGTAACTTTGGACGCTGAGCAGCAACTACAACGATACGTCAAGTGCTGCTCAATTAGTTCAATTTATTTTTAATCCGCCAAACACACACTCACTCACACAGAGCACACTTGCCCACTCACACACATGCATAAATCCAAATCGCGCATTGTGCGCTTAATTTGTAATTCGCTTTTCGCTTTGTAATTCGCTTTTGCATAGACTCTTATATTTATACACACTCTTATATTCTCAACAGGGACACAACTGTATATAGCATTAACGGCTTATTGGAATCATAGCAATCGCTACTTGAGTAGAGCTGAGCTTTGGTGTCCGTGCAAGTGTGCGTGTCAACATGGTAGGACAAATGCAGCTGCTATTCCAATGCACGCATACAGTGGGCGTCATAAGCTGTTTGATGCTGTTTCTGCTGGTCCAGACAATGGCCCAGGGTACACCGCAACAGGTGTGCCCGGAGCAGGCAGATATTGCGCCCTGTATATGCACCGTCAAGAAGAATGGACTCGATGTATTGTGCGAG